TTCTGTATACTGCTGATTTCTGTATATTGCTGATTTCTGTATACTGCTGATTTCTGTGCATTGCTGATTTCTGTGCATTGCTGATTTCTGTATATTGCTGATTTCTGTATATTGCTGATTTCTGTATATTGCTGATTTCTGTATACTGCTGATTTCTGTGCATTGCTGATTTCTGTGCATTGCTGATTTCTGTATATTGCTGATTTCTGTATACTGCTGATTTCTGTGCATTGCTGATTTCTGTGCATTGCTGATTTCTGTATATTGCTGATTTCTGTATACTGCTGATTTCTGTGCATTGCTGATTTCTGTGCATTGCTAATTTCTGTATACTGCTGATTTCTGTATATTGCTGATTTCTGTATACTGCTGATTTCTGTATATTGCTGATTTCTGTATACTGCTGATTTCTGTGCATTGCTGATTTCTGTATACTGCTGATTTCTGTGCATTGCTGATTTCTGTATATTGCTGATTTCTGTATATTGCTGATTTCTGTATACTGCTGATTTCTGTGCATTGCTGATTTCTGTGCATTGCTGATTTCTGTATATTGCTGATTTCTGTATACTGCTGATTTCTGTATACTGCTGATTTCTGTGCATTGCTGATTTCTGTATATTGCTGATTTCTGTATACTGCTGATTTCTGTATATTGCTGATTTCTGTATATTGCTGATTTCTGTATATTGCTGATTTCTGTATATTGCTGATTTCTGTATACTGCTGATTTCTGTATATTGCTGATTTCTGTGCATTGCTGATTTCTGTATACTGCTGATTTCTGTGCATTGCTGATTTCTGTGCATTGCTGATTTCTGTATATTGCTGATTTCTGTATACTGCTGATTTCTGTATATTGCTGATTTCTGTATATTGCTGATTTCTGTATATTGCTGATTTCTGTATATTGCTGATTTCTGTATACTGCTGATTTCTGTGCATTGCTAACTTATGTACATTGCTGGGGCCAAATATAATAAAACCATGCTCCCACAAAAAACTCATAAACACAAAATATGATTATTTGGTCTGATTTATGTACAATAACAATTAATGAAATGTATTTTGCTTATATAAATGTATATTATACAA